GAAACACTGACCCATGCTTATTTTGTATAGTCAAACGACTTTCAATTTGGCGGTCTCAAAGTAGTACAAAGTGCCGGGCAAAGGAAAGAAAGAAAAAACGTCGAACGGAATCAAAGTTCGGAAGTTGGTCAAGGGTGCAATGAGCGCAAAAAATCAAAATCCAAACCATAAATTGAGCCTTGCCTAACCTAGCGCGTGCCCAGCAACACCTTCGATGAGAGCTCACATTTTTTTTGATCATGTTTGAATCCCCAGAAATGGCTGTGAAGGCTTGAGCAGTTGCGTGTTTCGGAAATCTGGATATCCGAGCGTCCGCTGCAAGATCCATGAACAATCCCTGTTACGTCGCTGCAGTTGCTATTTGCGGTGCCAACGCGCTTTCGGCAACTTCTCTGGAACATCACCTGCACTCCGAGAACAGCTCTGGTTATTCCGAATGAAGTCCGGGATCTGGGGACCAAGAGGCGCGGTGTTCCTCAACTCTGAATGGGCATCATTGCCATTGACTAGAACGGATCTCTCGGCGATCCCTCCTCCGAGAACGTTCTTCGTCGTGTCTGTCAGAGAGCGCATTCAATGCTATATATTTGCTGCTGTCACATGGGTCTCGCACGCAAGACTGATGCCAGCGCTGCGCGGGACACCGGCCCTTTTTTACCTCCCCCGATTCAGGTCGACAAGACGGCGGATGGCGCGGCCCGAAGTGCCACCCCATGACGGTCATCCACACGGCTATTTGAAAAGCTCGATATCTTCTTGAGCACCACAAGAGTCACAAAGACTAGGAAGGAGTCTTGCCTACTCCCACACGTGTGTGGAACTTTGGACCAGCCATTGCGCCCCTTTTGAGCTTGCACGTGATTCCCCCGCCCTGTGGTCGTCTACACGAGGTTGGAAGTCTCGTTTCGCTGCCCAGTGCTTGCGAACGGAGAGAGTACCGATAGTAGACAAACCGTGATTAGCTACGTGAAATGCAAGCAATGCTCCCCAACGTGGGCTGAATAAGACTTTGTCCTGCACACCGAGGCAACTCGTTCTGCTGAAAATTTAAGGTCTCTCTTTCGGTCATGTAAGGAAATGCCGAAGACGCAATCCAGGGTGCATATTTTTCTTGCGTGCGCGTGTAACGCGCCCCAGTGTTTTTTTTTTTCTTTTTCCTTCTGATGATCGTGACCGGACTGAAGAGCGAGTTTCACTCAACAAAGAACGAAAGCGTGTCCTGCATCACCAGTATGGCGCCTAGTGTTTGCTAAACGCACAATCATTGCTTTTGCGCGGTTGGAGCCACCGAAACTGTCCTCCAGTCCCGGACCATTTCAGGGTGAGCAAGTGACAAGATTGGGTCAGTGTACCAATATAAAGGCTTCTCGTGGTAAGAGCGGACTTGCAGAAGTGCATTCCGATTCTGCACAGGGGTACCTTTTCGGAATGATTGTTTTGGTCTGTGTTACATCCATTGTGTAACGGATCCTCGGTGGATGTTGGTGACGATTGCGCTCCTCAGTCTACTAGATGCCTTGACCAGTTATCACTCGTCGGTCACGAGTAGTGACCATTCCGGGCGTCAAGGCGATCTCGAATGCTTCGTCAGTATTCTCTTCTGGCGACAAACACGTCTGTACCGTTCTCGTCGGACACAATCCTTGCTTGCAGTCGCTCTTGGTAAGAGCAATGTGAATGACGCAGCCAATGTAGACTGGCTCGTGGTAATCAAGCCGAGATTGATGCAACAGACTCTTCCTGCTTAACGCGGACTGATCTTACATCATCATGTTGCTCAATCAGCTAAACTCTGAACGAAATGACAATCAGGTATGCATATTACGTCAACCTCCTTTCAGACGGCGTTGAACAAGCTCGGTGCAGCGTTAACTTGAAATGACAAACAGCATCCAAGGTCATGACAAGTGTGAGAGCTACCGATCGGTAGCTCTCAGTAGGCATCAGCGCTGTCAAAACAGCGACAAAACTGCCGCTTGAAGCTCACCACCATAATCTTCCATTGACAGACTACATATGATTTTTTCCAATCGCTCCGCGTGTAGGTTCGATGACAGCAACTCTCAGCCTGCTCTTTTTTCTGTTCAACAGGGCGCCCATACTTCTCTTCTTCAGTTTCAAACAATGTTTGTTTACCGCTGCGTCAGATGTCCATTTGCTGCTGCGTTTCACAAGGGCAGTTCATGATTCAATCTGCCTTCAACACCCCAGCATTTGATCACGATGACAGCATGATCAAGATGGATAATTTGGACCTTTGGAGAGAGGTGTACTCTCGGCGTTGCAATATTGATGATGATTGCGGGAAAGTCATTAAGTCTCACACCACCACAGCGTGAAGGACTTTGAGGTATGGGTCACAAAATGGCTTTGCCTGTCCACAAATTGGGTGATTGGGAAATGCCTGGTTGTCGTGCTGTGAAATCTTGGAGTTGACTCTATTACGTGCTTAGTGCGCTCTCCACATCTGACAGAGACGTGCTCAAGTCATGAACAGAAGTGATCCGTTCGTACACCGGGCTCTGTCAGATGTTGGGAATAGCAACTTTGCAGCTTTGTGGTAGGAAGACACTTGGGCCAGGGCAGTGGTGTGTCCCGGTCACAGCAAAGCTTGCTCGCGCGATGTAGGTAATTTCGCTTTTTAGACAGCCTCGCTAGACCGGCCTTCGTCCTCCAAAAATTGCAAATTTTTGAAATTACGAAGGGGAGTGCTTTGCCAAGCTTGTCACGACAAACGAAGAATACCTCGAGGCAATGGAGGCCATTAAGGGCAAGTTTCGTGAGGCTTTGAGAGGCCAAGCGCTTAGCAGGAAGCAGGCTGTCATGATTTGAGTCAAAACGAGATTACTTTGTCACGTCGCGGGGACCTATGTTCGTTGGGAGACTGCGGGCGTGACTGAGAAATTCCGCCAGCCAAGCTCGGCGGCATTGCTGCTTTCATGCGTGGTCACAGAAAAGGCAACGCGCATGCCTGCTTTGAGGGTGAAATCTTTCTGACAACGAATGGAAGTTTCCTTGTTGTTTTCCCTCAGGTGAGTTTGCACAGCCTCGAATGTGCCAAGTTCAAATCTTTGCAAGTAGATCCCATTAAGATCAAGTAGGAGGCGAAGTTTGTGTTCTTGGCCCGCAGAAGCTCTGTGGCATTCGCCAGCTCTCGTCCGCTACAACTGATGACTTCGTGCAGGTGACACCCTCACCAACACGTCGGAAGGAGCGTTGGGGTTGCGCAAGTATACGGCAAGAGGGCGGACATCACAACGCGCACAAGTTTGGTGCCGAGGCAGCTCAAGCTCCAGGATTGTGTGTAGCCCCCTCAGGCCCTGGAGCGGCAAACGATTGTGGCGCATTGGAGGCAGATGCCGCCCCTCACCACTGTGGTAGACCTCCAGGCATGCTACACGCTCCGTCATTCGCATCCGCACTCGCACCCAAACCGCCACCGACTTGCTTCGAGGCTCCAATCTCAGCAGCTTTTGATTTGCCACCGCCATGCTTCGAGGCTTTGCTTGAGCTGCCCTTTCCCCATCTTTCTTTCCAAGCCCTCAGCTCCTCGCTCCACAGCTCCTTGACGCAGGGCTGGCAGCTACTGCCGCAGCAGTCGCTCGGACCGGGTTTGGGTGGCGGATCATCGTGATCCCTGGAAGCGGCTTGGAGAATGTCATCGTAGCGCAGAGGTGCGAATCTTCCTTGTTTCAGTGTCGGGATTTCTCGCACATCCGGGTAAGCAGGCTGATGAGGTTCTGGTGTGGGGTTGTCGGTGCGCCCGAGCGCTGACATGCTGAGCATGCGATGTAGGCGATGTGCGGTGAGAGGTGATCGCGATAAGCAGGTCGTGATAATGAAGATGGGTGGTAGCGCAAGCTGTGGTCGGGTCAGCACAGCTGCAGGATGCGTGCACAGCAGAGATGAAAGAAGATGTGATTTCCCCGAGAAGCGGCGCCCGCGATGCGCGAAATTTCCGAACCGGCGCGCAGAAAGGTCGAGATGCCGGCCGGCCGCCCGCTTGCCAAGTCGTGCAAGGATCGCCACGAAGTCGTGAGTTTGCGACTTGTGGCTTGATTGCTAGGCCCAGCTGATGGAGTCACAGTGGGCCGTGCGCAGCATTCGCAACAGATACTCCACCACCACCACGTCACTCAGCCACACAGCCGTTCTCATACGAGCACAGCAGCATCATCAGGCGACCGGGCAGGGAAAGATCGACGGAGCACTGTCACATTTCATGCGCATGTTACATTTGTCTGTGCAAGAGGCTACTTCATCATTGCTTCCTCCGCTTGCTCTTCGAGGTCGATGCTTTGCCTGGCACGTTGCCGCCATTTGCCCCTGCAGTGCCTTCTACAGCCACTTTCCAAAGCTCCTCGTTGACTTTGGTCGCCTTTTCCAGCTGCGCGCGAAGAGATGCGATCTCTTGCATCTGGGCCTCCAGCATCTGCTTGTCTGTCGAGCTGATCTGAGCAACTGAAGGTTGCAAAGCTTTCTCGGCATCCTTTGTCAATCGCACGGGCTCTGGACGCGACAGGATTCGGCTTGGTGGGGTGAGGAATGCTCGAAGCTGTTGGGCGCAATGCATCGATCAGCCACAGCGCTCGAGTGCTCATCGGCATGCAGCGCAACCGGACTCACCTGGCCCGCCCGCTGCGACCCGTGCAAGGCGAAGTGCAGCTCGCCGCATTGGTCACCCAGACCTCTGCCGAGTCTGTCCATACGACGCTTCTTGTGGTCTGCGGTCGCAGAGCCCGCGCTGGTCCCCACGCTACCGTTCGGCCGGGCCAGACAGACCAAGTTGGAGACGTGGCGTTTGGCTGTACTGCTGCTGGACGAGGCCGATGTCGTCTGAGCATGAACCTCGGGCGACAGATCAACGTTTCGCAGAACTTGGAACGTGTGGATATCGATGATGCTCAGCGTCGTGTTTGTCGTGCCTACGAGAAGGAGCGTGCCGCAGGGCGACAGCGTCATGGCGGTCGGTGTACCTCTGTGATGCGAGCACGTGAGAGGATTGTCAGTCTCCAGAGCGCCCTTGCAGCACTATACCGCGCTTGTAGCACGAGTGATTACTCACCCGACCTGTACCTGTGTGGTGCTGGCCGCATGACCGTCGCCGGAGTCGCCGTTCGTATGGGCGATGGGGCCTTCTGTCCAGCCAGAGGATGGCGAGATCAGGTCCACCTTTAGGACGAGCCCTGCACCGCCAGAGGGAGCAGACGACGCAGCTGCAAAAATGAATCTGGCAGTGGGATCGACGACGATGAAGTGCGCGGGGTACGGCAAGATGTGTGTTGAGACCAGCTTGCGCGTTTTCAAGCTCCAAGTCTGAGCGGGGTTGGGGTCCGGATGCGTGCGACATCGGCATGCGTGAGAGAGAGGGAGAGAGAGAGAGAGAGAGAGAGAGAGAAAAGAGATGAGCGTGAGGGATGCGTCCAGCGGATGATGGATT